TATCAGCAAATGAAATCTGTGGGGGCCGGGGAGATGGCTCAGTAGAATAAAGCACTTGTCTGCCAAGCACAAGGCCCTGTTTCTGAAAAAAAAAGGGGGGGGGTGGGTAGGAGGAGGAAGAGAAGGAGGAGGCAGAAGAAGAAGAAAGAAAAAAACAAAAACAAAATGAAATCTGAAGGGCAGTAACCTCCCCAGGATAACAACCTTATTATAGTTATATGGGTTTTTTAATTTTCATTACTTTGGTTCTAGGGATCAAACTCATGACCTTACACTTGCCAAGCCGGGGCTTATATTGCTGAGCTATCTCCCCAGCCCAGTAATACGGCTTTGAAACTATAAAAAGAATAATGTATTTAGTCACTTTAGAAACTCTTAATATTGCATACTAGCTGAAATTTTACAACATCACATATTAGAGCCACCCAACATTCTGGCTTATATAATTTTAGAGATTTTGAGAGAGAAATTTATAGAGTATAATCCATACAAGAGTAGCATCATACTCTTCACACTACTTAATAAAATAGTGTTCTACATCAGTAGGCTAAATATCCTAACTTTAAAAAAACTTTATTAGAAACAGCAATTATTTCTGTAGTTTTCACATGCTGATACCTTTGAAATAGTAAATATTTAACTATTGTGTAAATGAACACACCAGTTAGCAACAATAGAAAACTTACAGGATACTAAAGTTGCCACAGGTCTGAAAATGAAAGATGCATTTTCTCATTTTCTGGCACACACTCTATTCTCTTACACATATTAAAATAAAATGTACAGATGGTAAAATGCTTGAAGTATCTTCAACCTCCAAAACTTTATGATTTTGTAAAAATTTTGTATTTCTTTTAATAATTTTTCATGTGATTCTTCCAAAATAATACTTTCCTAAATGTCAAGATTGCTCTTTTATGTTCAAGAACAGGAGCACACACAAGCAGCATCCATGCAACGCTTCTTACAAGCTTATTTACTGCTCATAACAACCCTGTAAGGTAGGCAACGTGAAAATTAAGTCATGCTTTTAACATTCCACAGTCGGTAACTGGAAGGGATGAATTAAAACTCCTAATGATCCTAGAAATTCTGTTAATCATATCAAGTTGCCTTTCTTAATGTACTTATAGAAGTATTTAATAAGCGCTTCCTATAACAACAGTAGGAATGATATACTAGGTAAGCATTTAAAAGGACAGAGGAAATAAGTACTGGGACTAACAAAGAAAAGATCTAGTATCAGTACAAACAATGAAACTAAGGGGAAAAATAATCACTAAATAAGTTAATAGAAAACAAATTTGATTTTAAAGACAAGTGAGAGGGCTGACCAGATAGCTCAGCAGACTAAAGCACCCACTTAGGCAGATGCAGGGACCAGGGTTCAATCCCCGGCATGCTGTGCTGGCCCAGCCCCCCCAGGGCATGCTGAGACTGGGATTGAAACTGGGTGTGGTGGTGTATGCCTGTAATCCCAGCACTTGGGAAGCTGAAAACAGAAGAATCATTACAAGTCTGATCTGTGTAGTGAGACACTGTAGACCCTGTCCCAAATACAGGAAAAAAAAAAAAAAAGTGAGGTAAAAATAAATGGGTCTCTGTTTGGAACATGGAACACCAGTAACTACTCAAGTAATGAATGTAAAACTTTCTGCCTCGTAGTTTTTTAATCGGTTTGTTTTTTAAGTTTGGACTGTGGCCAACTCATTTAAGAGGAATGGTTCATAAAATTTTAATATTCTTTTAATATTGTAAAAATTATTTTCATCCCCCAACCCAGGCATGGTGGTGCAGGCATATAATCCCAGTGCTAAGGAGGATGAGACAAGAGGATCACTACGAGTCTGAGCTGCGTAGTGAGACCCTGTACCAAATACATAAAAAAGATTTAAAAAATTATTTTCGGAGTTGGCTTGGTAGCTTGCATGCAGAGTGAGTGTCCACAGCCAGGTGGTCACTGGTAACACAACATATAAAACCTGAGCCCAAACCCCGCCTCCATCATGGCCGTATAGCTGCTGTGAAAACCAACAATAAAAGGTGCCTTCTAAGAAATTTGCTGTTAAGTGCAGGGACTTTGCTGTCCTGGTGATCTTCATGTACCACAAGGGTCAGACAAAGATACCAGTTGGTTTTCTGAACAGAAGAAAGAGAAAATCTGTTTGCTATTAAAAGAAAGATTCAAGAGTTAAGGAGCACTTGGAAGTTCGTAAACAGCACAAGCCATCACATACAGAATCCACAAGCTCCTGTCCCTTGTCCTTAAAAGGCTCTGGCCATCAGATCACTGCCTCTTTCCTCAAGGGAGATTTGCCTTCACTGCGCTGGGAGTGCGTGGAATACTGAACGCTGTGTACTCCCTGACCAATTTGTGGTGTGCATTAGTCGACTTGCAGCCAGTCCTGGTATCTTGGCAAATCAGAAAGAAGAATTGGTACAAATGAAAAAATTCTGTGGACAAGCCAGTGAGCCTAAGTGCTGGGTCTTGCAATAAACAGGGCAAAGAACTGTCTATTGCTATCATTTAGCTACACGCTTATGGGACGAAAATGTCTTACCTATTTTGTGTGCCCAGAGTGATTAACTGATGCATTCAGGGTTTTGTTGTTTCCCCCTTTCCCCCCCAAAGAGCTCATATATTTAGATTGATCAGCAGTATCTTTTTACTACCAGTTTTAAGTAAGAAAGCAGCACAACACAGACTGTGATGGTACTTATGGTTGAATTAAAAAGAAGCAAAAAAATTGTTTTCATCACCTTGAAAATGTCCTTTAAAATTTATCATCCAAATTAATCCAAATTAGAAAATTTTATAGATAAATCTTTGCTTACTTGGAAGAAAGGAGACAAATTACTAACTGGCAATACCACTACCATTACATAACTTACTGGAAGGGCAAAGAGCTTATTTCCTTAACTACTCTGAAAAGAAGAAACACTTGAAACGTAAAGTACTCATCTCCCACTTTCTCTAAGTGTGCTCTACATGCCACCAAGCGAGCATTTACTCAGCAGCCTGCTGCAGGCCTTCTCAGGACCAGGTACTGTACCTCACACTAGAGGACTACAAGCAAGGCTACTGACTAAGGCAAGGTCCACACCAGGCAGGGGCGGATGCCTGCAATCCTAGCTCCCTGCGAGGGGGAGGTAGTAGGACTGCAAGGTCAAGCCCAGTCTGGGCAACTTACTTAGCAAGGTCCTGCAGCAAAGCTTTAAAAAAAATTTAAGGCCTGGGGATGTAGCTTCATACCATGTGCCTGGCTTTAGTCCCCGGTGTCAAAAAGTAAACACAACACAACAGAACAAAATGTGGCCCTTATACATGGAAGATAAAACATAGGACATATATTTTTACTTACCTAAATCAAATCGGTACTCTGCAAAAAAATCCATGCCTATCAGCATATGTGTTTAGGATTATAAAAGAAACAGTACTTTTATGGGTCCCAACACACAAATTACTTAACAACAGGCATTATAATTTCTTGGTAAGACAAAATCAGAACTACTATTCAATGTTCCTTTAAAAATGAAAAGATATTCTTTGGAATTGGCAGTCACACTTTAGGGCCTACTTCTACAGGAGTACCAGGTTCATGAAGGTGATTCTTTTCACAATTCTGGTCCTAAACCAAGTTGGACAAGAACCAAATCAAACTCCACGGTTAGTTTCAATGTTGACTTTATGAGGAAATTTGACTCGGTTCATGTTCAGTTTTGGTTCGGAACCAAAATTGTGGAGAGAACTGAGTCTGTGAACCAAGGCACTACTCTATTTTTACTGCTAACTTTCTGCTTCCAATTTTAATGGAATTCATCAGGAGGAACGCATCAGGAGATAGTGCAATGATTACTCAAAATGTTTTGGAGCTCCTGAAATCTAAAACATTAAAAAATGATTACTTGCTGCTCTGTTGTACATTAGAATTATCCAATTTGAATGTGTAAGTGCACTGCTAGACTTTATTCCTAATTATTGTAGTTATATACGTTTAGATACACTCAAGAACCTGTGATTTCAGATAAAACACAATTTGAGAAAGGCTGATCTCTAGAATGATCATCAATAAAGAAGCAGAGATTTCTTTTACCTATTTTGTTTCACTTTTTAATTATTACATGTTTGCAGTACATAATGTTTACATTCCCTGCATGGAATTAGTACACCCTTTCCCTGTCTCTTGGTCCCCTTGCCTTGTGGGAAAGATCTGTCCCCCTATGTCCTATTATCTATTTTTTGTGTGCTTTATTTACATTTGGGAGGTCTCATTTAAAACATGCAGCAACTATAAAATGGATTTTTTTAACCAGCTATTCCTCAGACAGATGACTAATATCTACAATATATATAGAGAACAGAAAAAAATTAGACACTCAGGCAAACAAAAGAGCCAATCAAACCCTGGGCAAGTGAAATGAACAGACATTTTACAAAAGAAGTACAAACAGTCAATAAATACATGAAGAAATGGGCAACATCACTAGTCACTGGATGACTACAAACTAAAACAACCTAAAATTCTATGTTATTCCAGAATGACCATTATCAAGACATCAAATAATAACAAATGCTGGCAAGACTGTGAGGGAAGAAAGGAACCCTTCCACATTGCTAGGGGGAATGTAAACTATTACCTGCCATTTGCAAAGGTGCTAAAACTACTACCATTTGCTTTCATATTTCTGAGGTAAAATTATGTTCTGATTTCCACAGTACAAGCTCTTCAAATATATGCACTGTGGTTGTGTTCACTTTGCGTTACATGAATAGATGAGTGAAGCGGTAGAGAGACAGACATAAGCCCAGCTAATATATATTAAAACAGCTGTTCTATCCAGAAACCAGAAATTCAAGTGTTTTTCACATTTTCCTTATTTGAGAACCACTCTGATAATTCTGTTTTTAAAAGTAGTGAAAAGAAAAAAATACCATTGAAAAAATTTCCCAGGAAAGTCCGCTATGACTTTAAGTAGCCAGAGACAGCCAGTCACCTTACCTGCCATCTCGCTGAGCAGCACCGCCATCTGTTACTGTCTTGACAAATATTCCCAGCTTCTCGAGTCCGGCATCCGCTCCAACACCCATTCCAATAATACTTATACCAAGACCATCCTCGTCTATGAAAACAAAGAAATAAAAAAGCCCTACGTTTTACATTGGTTCTAGTCAGTTAATTAGCAGGTAAGTCCTACTTGCTGCTTTTAATTTTGTTATTCTTTTGGGACAGGACATGAGTGCTGCCTTTTGCAGAATTTTTTCTATACTGGAGAGTAAGGTCAACCTGCAGCCCATTACTGAAAGAGTGAAAGAGGTTTTTTTTTTTTTTTTAAATCATTTTTGGTGATTCACTGTGGTCCCAGAGAAGGCAGTAATTTGGTTATTGAATAGGCAATCTACCTTAAAACACTGACTCTCCAGATAAGCCTATCAATTATTTTAGGTCTTAACCACGTACATATTCCCATACATACATAATTTTAAATAAACGTGATTTTTATTAGAATTTCTCCTTTATGGATGCAATTTTCTTATTCATTCATGTTAATGGTAGTATGCATCTAGAAATATTTTCTTCTGTGCTACCACACAAATACACATAATCAATAGATACATTACACACATATATACATACACACATTTGCATGCACACAGACATATGCATGTATACAGCTCTTTTTCCTTTGCACCAATGAAATTATATTGACTCTCTGCAGCTTACTTTTTGACATTCTTCATGGATATTGTTGTGGTTTGTATCTAGATGTCCTATTCAATCCTGATGAGATCGTAAGTTGGCTCTCTGGGAGGTGACTGTACTTGGGAGTGTTACAGATGACTGGCTCTTAGGAGGAGCCTGGCAAAAGAGGTGAACCACTGTGGGAATGACCTGGAAGGCTATTTTTCCTTTCCAGCTCTTCTCTTGGTTCTACATCGTGGATGCTATAAGGACAGCAGCTTTCTTCTACTGAGGCCCTTCCACCACCCTGTTGTACCTTGGAGCCAGGTAATTATGAGCTAAAATCCCTGTAAGCCATGAACCAAAAGAAAACTCTTCTAAGTTGTGGGTGTTGGGTATTCTGAAGCAAAGGGATTAAGACCAATATCAACTGGTGTCACTCTAAATCATTTCAAATGACTGTATAATACTTAAAGGGGAAATGCTACCATAACTCAGTAAACCATCTCTATTGATAGGCACTCACCTTTGCTTTCATTTTATTGGCCCTCTGAGAAATACTGCAAATGTTTATTAAAAATTCACTTATTAATCCTATTTCCATTTGTCTCTACTATGAACACACATATATAGGCTAAAACTTACAGAAACACTATAAATGTAAAATATACTACACTTTTTGTTTAGTATTCAAGGTTATTTTCTGATAACCTCAAAGTCTTTGTAATTATTGTTTATCAACATTGCTTTATCAATGATAATTACATAGAAAAACAGATGATTAGTGATAAACTAATGGTATCAACAGTGGCTATAGGAAAACTAACCGCACGCTTCATGCCTTTTTAGGGGGATACTGGGAATTGAATTCAGAACCTTGCACTTGTCAGACAGGTGCCTTGCCACTGAGCTATATCCTTGGCATGCTTCATGCCTTTAAAAGACTTTTCAGCAACAATCTTTACTTCATAAAGTATTCACAATTAACATTTCTTTGAAGATGGATTATCTCACTGATCATTACTTGTCACCAGTGTTTGCATTAAGTATTAATAACTTTTCTCCAAGTACAACTAACACAATTATACTCTTTTATTCTAGATGTTAAAAATAATGTCTGGCAAGAATATTATTTTTTTGCTCAGTTATATGATGAAAAGCTTCTTATACTGAACTACATACTCAGCCTGTTTTAAAAACATTTTTATTTTAAGCCAGTGTCTTACTAAGCTGCCCACTATGCCTGAATTTGAGATCCTCTCAGCTTGATCTCTAGTGTGCTGGGAATACAGGCATGTGCCACCAGGCCCAGCTTATTAAAGAAATCTCCCTTGACAGGTGTTCTGATAGGAGCCCTTCTGAAGACATCTGCATAGTGTTTCCATGCACAGGTACATCTCTCCAGTGTGAAAACCTTAGTGTTGACCAATGTATGCGAGATCACTAAATGCCATTCTCCTTCATTACACTTGGAATGTTTGTACACATGTGCTTTCTTGTGTGTATCTCACTGACACTTTCTCTAGCGTAAGTACCCTGAAGTTCATCAAGGTTTTCTCCTGATACTGCACTGCACAGTTTTAGGATTTCTCCCCAGAATGCATTTTCTTGTGTGTACACAGATTAGACATGTGCTGAAGGCTCTTCCACACTGGCTACATGTGCAGGGTTTCTTCTACCCTACACGTATGCTCCTGTTTTTATCAAGGTTAGCAAAGGGTAAATTTCAGTGCAATCATCACATTCACAGAATATTCCCAAGGTCTGAATGAGTTCTTGCAGCTCTTCCAGTACTTCATCTATCTAATCTTACCCTTCTGTACGCCTCTGGTGCTATTTAAAAGATGCTCATGGAGACCACTCCAGCCTGACAATGCCATGGGTTTCTCTTCTATATGAAACCTCAGGGTGATCAGTATTTAGCCTGACTTCATGCTCACACTCATGATACTTGCAGGGCTTTTCCTCATGACGGACTGTCGCATGCCGAGCCACCCTGGAGCTGTAAGCAGACCTTTTCTATATCCATACGAAGGACTCCACTCACATGTGGACTCTCCGCACTGTCAGGCTGTTAAATTCCTATGGCCGAGAACCCTATGTGAAAATTACTTCTTAGTTTTTAATCTACTTTTTCTTACCTGGACTCAGGACATCCTAAAATTATTTTTCTTCATTCCAAGACTCCTTTTATTGCTTTAGCTGGACAATCACTAACATATCTTGGGCTGAAAACCAGCTGTGAGAAAAGCAATACTAACTACAGTCACCTGATTTCTAGTGCAGACTATGTACAAGAAGAAGACAATGACAAAGGCGAGACAAGGGAGAGCTGCACTGACCTGAAAGCAGACGCGCCTGCTCCTGGCCACCTCGCCTCTCCTCTAGTCGGGACGTGTGCCAAGCTCAAGCGCACGCCAGCCAGAGCAGACTGCTGGAGGCCACTACTTAATGCGGCAGCCCTGGCAAGGATCCAGCCGTCCCCTGCCCTCGCCTACCCTGATCCTCCTATGTATACACTCCTAACAACAGGATTGATTCACATGTTGCCACTCAAACAGAAGCGCCAGCGAAGTTGCATTGCAAAAGGAAATTTTATAAAATGTATTAAAAATTTAAATGTAAAAATGCAGACTTGTAAATGTTTTTGTCTGCTTTTTTAACAATTACTATTTATTTCATGCAGGGTCTCCCTACACAGTCTGGACGCGTAGTGATCCTGCTGTGTCATCCTCCCCAGTGCTGGGATCACAGGTGTGCACCACCGTGCCAGGCTCCAGGGCCAGCATGGGGCTCGCACAGCATGTGGTACTGGGGATCAAACTTGGGACCCTGCGCCTGCCAGGCAGGCGCTTATGCAGCCAAGCTGTCTCCCCAGCGCTGTCTGTCTGCTTTTGAGACATGATCTTGCAAACTCACTAGGTTGCCTGGGCTGGACTCAAGCCTCCAATCCTCCTGCCTCAGGCTCTCATGGTGCTGAGGTTACAGGTATGCACTACCATGCTTGGCACATACTGTTCAATTTTTATAATTCTGAAATTTATTTAAATAAAATTGTAACCAAATGACTTCTGTGACTTGTTCTTTCTTGCTTCAATTATGTTTTTAAAAATAACAGTTAAAATGCATAAAGTCTGATTTATCAATTTTCAGTGCTATGTAACATTTTATTGACTGGATATAGCAGATAAGCTATGATAACTATTTAGGTTGTTCCATTAATTTATTTGTTATATAAAGCCATTATTTATTTATTTATTAGCTATGTAAAGCCTCTTCTTATTTATTAGCTATACAAAGCCACTTGTGTTTGTTTATTTTGGTGGCCCGCTCAGCCCATCCTAGGGGTGGGGCTGGCACAGCATGTGTGCCTGGGATCAAACCCTGGTCCCTGGCGCTTGCCTAAGCTTGCCTAAGCTGGCACTTTAAACCCCTGAGCTGTCTCACCGGCCCCAAAGCCACTTGTTTTTGCAAGAACTAAGAATGATTTTTACATTCTTAAATGTATGAAAAATGTAAGCATCATTTCATTTCTTCTGATACTTTCAAAAGAAAATGTCTTTTAATGAAGGTAACTAATGAGACATATTTAAAAATGGTTCCTCTCACAGCTTATTCACTCATGCAGCTTTATGCTTCCCATATAATTTTCACCTCTTTTGTTCTCACCTGAGCTGTTGTGAACAAGCTGTTCTTTGTGTTTTTTGCTGTGTGCTAAGTGGACAGTTA